AGATACATAGATCAATGGAACAGAATTGAGAACCCAGAAACAAGTCTATCCACATACAGTCAGCTGATCTTTGACAAAGGGCCAAAACATATTAAATGGGGAAAAGATATTCTCTTTAACAAATGCTTTAGCAAAACTGGAAATGGATTCACAGATGAATGAAACAAGACCCATATCTCACACCATATACAAAAACAAACTCAGTGTAGATTGTTGTTCTTGTTTTTTAAGTGCCATTGAGTTGGTTCTGACTCATAGTGACCCTGTATAGGGTTCCCATGGAGCATCTGGTGGATTTGAACTGCTCATCTTGTGGTTAGAAATCCAGTACTGATCCTACAGTGCCACATAGGAGTCCCAATGTGGATTAAAGACCTATATGTAAAACCTGGAACTATAAAGATCAATTATAAAACAATAGGGACAAACTTAGGGCTGTAATACATGTCATAAATACACTATCAAACATTACTAAAAACAAACAGTAGAAGACAAAATAGAGGACTGGGGCTTTCTAAAAATCCGGCACCTATGTGCATCAAAAGGTTTCACCACAAGAGTAAAAGGAGCCCACAGACTGGAAAAAAATTTTTGGCAACAATAAATCAGACAAAGACTAATCTCTAAAATGTATAGGAAACTACAACACCTCTACAGGAAAAAGACAAACAATCCAATTAAAAAATGGACACAAGACATGAGCAGACACTTCACAAAGGAAGACATTCAGGCAGCCAACAAACATATGAAGCAATGTTCGCAATCATTAGCCATTGTTGTTTTAAGTGCTGTCAAGTTGGTTCCAACCCATAGCTGCTGTCAAGTTGGTTCCAACCCATAGCAACCCTGTTTAGAGTTTCTGAGGAGTAGCCGCTCAGCTTGAAATGCCGACCTTGCGGTTCAAACCAACTTTGCAGTCCAATGCATTATTAACCCACAGCGACACACCAGGACTCCATCAGAGAGACACAAATCAAAACAACAATGTGATTATCATCTCACTCCTGCATTAATAGCAATGTTAAAAAAAAAAAAAATGCTGGTGGGGTGTGGAGAGACTGAGACCCTCCTACATTGCTGGTGGGGCTATAAAATGGTTTAACCATGTGGAAAATGGTATGGCACTTCCTCAGAAAGTTGGAAATAGAAATACCTTATGAATGAGCAATTCCTCCACTTGGTATAGATCCACAAGGAACGCATGCCAACTGGAGGCTAGAGCTGAAAGTAAAGTAGCTAGCTGGTGTGAGTTGGGGGAGGCATGCAAGAATGCCCAAAATTGTAGATAGCACCCATTTGACATAGCTTGGATGGATAGTTGACCAGAACTCAATCAGATGAAGACAAAGAAGTTTGATACAGGGAGCGAGCGTAAATTACTACAATCTGATGAACTGGACCTTTGCTTATGGATGTAGTTGCTCAAAATTCCAACCAAAGAGAAGGACTCTTCATATCAAGGATCAAGCTTGCCTCCTCAGTACATTGGGTTGATAGGGATGGGCAACTTAGATATTGGCTATCAAAAAAGGGGGCTATAAAAACATGAAGTGTCTTTACAGGCTTTTATGAATATGCTTAGTTTCAGAATGAGAGGGATAAGGTAGAATCCCCACTGAATAGTTTTCCTCTTTTCCAGATGAGTCTAATGAAAGGGGATGGGGAAGGATAGGGATAGGATTTTATGATTCAACTGTGTATAATTGTTATCAGGACTAATTGTGATTGTCACAACTGTAAATGTAGAAGATATGTAACTAAAAGCAGGGAGTAGTTAATCTTCCATTACAGGATCAGAGGACCCTAGGACCAGCAAGAGGGAGGAGCATGTGTGGAGCATAGGATCCTAACCAGAAAAGTGGTGACAGCAGAAACAGTGGCAGAGGTGATGGCAAAAGAAAGACAGAGTGGCTGAGGACTCTAGGGCCATGGACTGAGAAAGGTTGTGTGCCTGTAGGCAGGAGACCGGCTTGCAAAGTGTGCCCTTTGGACATTTAAATGAGTATGTATTTTCTGTTTTGTATGTGTACAGCAAAAAAGAAAAAGAAAAAAGGAAGTAAATACTGTTAACTGATGATACATGGAGGGGATTGTAATCATTACAATGAAACAAAATATAATTTATTGAATGTAAATCTGACCTGTAAACTTTCACTCAATCCACAATAAAAACTTAAAAAAAAGAAAAAAGACAAGATGTATGTGCCAGGACATGAGTAGATATAAATGTACCGATGTTCATCGCAGCACTATTCACAAAAGCCAAAAGAATAAGACAACCTAAAGGCCCATCAACGGAAGAGTGGTACATTCACACAATGGACTACTGTGTAACATTGGAGAATTAACAATGAATCTGCAAAACACCTTATAACATGGATGAACCTAGAGAACACTGGTGGTGGTGGTCATGTGCCATGGAATTGGTTCCGACTCATAGTGACCCTGTATAGGGTTTCTGAGGCTGTAAATCTTTACTGGAGCAGAAAGCCTCATCTTTCTCTGGCAGAACAGCTGGTAGTTTCAAACTGCTGACCTTGAGATTAGCAGCCCAATTTGTAACCACTATGCTACCAGAGCTCCTTTAGAGGGCATTATGCTGAGTGAAATTAGTCAATCAAAAAAAAAGAGACAAATATCATATGAGACCACTATTGCAAAAACTCAAGGAAAGGTTTTTATACTAAAAAACATTACATGATCATTACCTGGGATGGAAGGGAAGGGAGAGTAATTTACTGGCTAGAAGGTAGACACATGTTAACTCAGCTAACTGGGAGGGCATTATACAAGAAGAGAGAGGTTGGCAGAAGAATGCTGAAGACACAGGGAGGTATACAAGGGCTAAAAGGGAAAGAGGTGAATAGTGATATATATACAATCTTGAACAACAATATTCTATGGGAAAGTACATGGACAGAGACACAGGCTGAATGGATATGGGAAGAAGAGTGTATATATCCCACAAATGTATTAGTTTGAAAGAGGATGTTGGTACATGGGAATTTACCTTTCCTGCAAACATAATTCTGAATGTAGTGCAACATACAATGAGCAAAACAATGAAAACTTCTTAGATAATATCAAACATCTGAAGACAATGAATTCTGGGCCTGGGGGCTCAGGACCACAGTCTCAGAGGACATCATGGTCAACTGGCATAACATAGTCCACAATGACAGTGTTCTACAGCCTATTTTGATGAGTAGGGTCTGGGATCTCAAAAGCTCATGAGCAGCCATCTGTGGTGCAGCTATCTGTCTCTCCATGTGCAGAAGAAAGAAAACTGATGATAATTAAAGAGGCTTGGAATCAATTAGTTCAATGGACTAATGGAACACCTGGACATCACTCTCCACGACTCTGAGACCAAAAGACCTAGAGGGTATCTAGATACCATTACCAACTGTTCTAAAAGGGATCACATTAGAAAGTTCCAGATAGAACAGTGAAATACGTGGAACAGAACCCAAAATTAATTTTTAAAAAAGACTGGACATACTGGTCAAAAAGAGACTGGAGGAACCTGAAAGTATGGCCCTTGACCACCCTTCAGGTCTGGAAATGAACTCACCCTCGTGGCCCAACTTTCAGGCAAACAATAGATAAGTATATCAGGGAAACAACAACACTAGTAAGGTATGTTCACTATAAATGTTGGACCAGTCAATCATTCAAACTCAAGAGGACAACAATTATTTAAGGACAAAAAAGAAGGGATGGGAAGGAAGGTGGAATGGAAATAGGGACCACAGGGAGGAAGTAGGATAACTGTTGTTGCATGGAGGGGTTACAATCATTGAGATGAAACAAAGTGTATGAGTTTCTGAATGTAAAACTGGTGATCTTGTCTGTAAACATTCATTCAATTCTCAATAAGTAAAAACAAAAATACAAAATCGTTGTTATGTGCTGTTCAGTCATTTCTGACTCATGGTGAACCTGTGTGACAGAATAGAACTGCCCTATAGAGTTTTCTAGGCTGTAAACTTTATGTCCTGATGTTGTGCCATAGGAAAAGCACTCAACATTAAGGTTGGTTTGAACTGCAAGGTTAGTGGTTCAAGCTCAGCAGCTGCTCCTTGGAAACCCTATCTATGGTTGCTATGAGTTGGAACTGATTGAACAGCACACAACAACAATCTTTATGAGGGCAGATTGTCATGTCTTTCTCCCACAGACCCACTGGGTAGATTCAAACCATCAACCTCTCCAAGAGAATTGCTATTGACATTGGAGTTTGTTTCTTTTTAGTATTTTATCTGTGTGTACAAATTTTAACATGGTTAGGCTTATACTGTGTGTTCATTTTTTTCTTTTATATTTTATTGATTTATTTTTCACATAATTATACAAGGCATCTTCAAAAACATTTCTGAATATAATAATTCACCATTATAGAGACCATGTTATTAGAGAAAATAAAATTATTAAAATGGACTAAGAGTTCAGACTGTCCTATATTAAGCATATCGTAGCAACACAGACGATGCTGCTGTAGTAAACTGACCTTCAAGTTTCAAATGAAAATACTGTATAAGCTCTTTTTATTAATGAGAAAATAAATATGCATTTCCCTTCCTTTTCTCTTTTCCTTCCTTTTCTTTTTAACTGCTTTCTCCATCACCCAAGTTAGCATGTGTGTACACGCTATCCAGTGAATAATTCTCCCTTCCCTTCCTCCTTAAAAGCAGTACTTTTTGTCTTTGTTCCACTGACATATTCCTAATTCCTAGAAGCCTACCTAGCACATAGTTGATGCTTTATAAACGCTGACTAAAAGAATAATGAATGATAGAGAAGAATAACATTAGTATTTAATGGTTACTGTGTTTATGGGTTTAATTTTATTTTGAGTCTTCCATAATCCATAAACTCTTAGTGATATTATTATGTAATTTATTTCATTAAATGTTTTTTCTCACTTTAAAAGTCTCAATGTGTGACTCTATTTTCAGGGAAAACAATGTAAATTAACTCACTGTAAATTTTCATGACAGAATAAACGCTTAAAGGATGAACAGGTTTGGCACATACAGAACCTACTAAAGGAACTCAGTGAAGATAAGTCAACAGGAGCATCAATTATAACACGAGAGAATGTTGAAGAAGCAATGAAGGAAAAATGGAAGTTTGAAAGAGACCAGGAAAAAAATTTGAAAGGTAATTTAAGAAAATTAACATGAACTATATCAAGTTATTTATTGAATATATTAATGCTTTTTTCTTCCAATATGTTCCAAATAATATGAACACATTTAACATGCCATCGTTGTCATCAAAACCACAAACACGTGTAGGCAAAAGGACAGGAGAGGGAAATCATGACGTGGGCAGAGATACTGAAACCAAGTGAGGAGGAAGAACAAGGGCAGCAATCAGAAACAAAGACAGATGAAAACCATCTGACTCTTAACACCAGACCAGTATTCTGTTGAACACCATGTTGAGCTTACCCTCACATTGGGGATTTGTTTTCTTTTGGAAAATAATCTTGTCTGACAGCCTTAGCTTCAGTTTAGTTTTGAGAATGATAAAGTAAATAGAACCAAGACACCTTTTCTCCCAATGTCTTTAAAGAAACTAAGTCCTCCATTTAGACAGGAAAAAGAGGTATTAGAGTCAACAAAAGAAATATTTGGAAGATACTGTGTGCTTTTTTATTTCTATTCTTTCATCCTAAACTTGCTGCCAATATTTCTCAAACCACTTTTGCTAGACCTCTACCCAACCCATCCTCTGTTAGGAAGCTGGAAAACAAAACAGGAGGAAGAGAGTAGAGCATTATCAGGACGCAGTACCAGAAGTTGGAAAGCAAAACAAGGGACCACATTTTCCTGAATTTCTCCAGATGTTTCCAAGTGACCATGTAGCTGAGAACTTTGCACACAGCAGCTACTCTACTCACTTGATAATTATTGTTTTGAATGAACATTTCTAAGACCAAACACCAACTGGCAAACTTCATGTACAGAGCTTTCCAAAACTATTTCTGTAAGCCTCCTCCTATCCAGGTTTCTTTATTGACAATAGTGATGCTGTGAGGTAGGAGAAGCTATGTTTTGTGGTACTCCTCTGTGGAACAGTTCCATTTGTGTTTGGAAGAAGTATTTTAATAAATCCCTTATGGTGGAAGTGAGACCCTAAAGGATGCTCAGGCATGTTCTCCAAGGGGGAATGACTCTGTTAGTTCAGGTGTACCTCCTAGTAGTTGGGGCTGAGCCCTGGGGCACATGCGTTACGCAAGTATAGACCCAAGCTGGATAGCTCAGCACAGTTGAGGAGGCCTGGGCATGAGTGCTGATGGCCCAAGGAAGAGAGGGAAAATTATAGAACATATGTGTCTGAAACCATTTGCTATGCATTATACCAGTAGTCCCCATTTTATCAGACAGCCGTGGTAGCTTTACCTGGTATCTGTCCCCATGCAAATTCTCAGACCTCACCCAGACCTACTGGATCTTGCATTTTGACAAGAGTCCAGGGAAATCCTGTGTCCACAAACATTCCAGGAGTGTTGATGTAATCCCTTCCAAGCTTCAGTCAGGATTTTCTTTCTCAGTTGCAAAGGTGAAGATCCAACTCAAATCAACCTAAGCATAACAAAGATGTTCATGTTTTCATATAAGCAAACTACAGAAAGTGCAAGATGCTTCTGGCCTGGACTCACAGCCTCAAACGCTGTCAGATGTCAGCAGCTTTTTGTTTTTTAAATGTTTATTTATCTCTGTCTCTCTTCCTTGTTCAAGTTGGCTCCTTTTCCTCAGGCTATTGTCCCCTTGAGGCTGGAACTCTGACTACAGATAGCTCTGATCTTGCATCCTGTATCCTCAAAACTGAGACCAATGAGGCAAGCTTTCCCCCAGTTTCAATGAAAATATATCTGAGAAAGGATATCTTAGGTTACATGCCTATTCCTGAACCAATCAATCCCTACAGCCAGGACAGGAGGCCACTGCACTTGTTTGATAAGGGGCAGGAGAAGTTTGTTACTAGGAAGAACTCTGGGCAAATAGGGCAATAATCATTACATCCATCTCTTAGGAAATCTTCAGTGAACTCAACACCTTCCCTATCCTTACAGCAAAGGCTGAAAGTGGCCCAGGGCTGAAGCAGCTGCCATCTCTTTAAAGAAGAGAATGGCAGTGCATCTAGGTGACAAGCATATTGATAACTATTTAAATTACAATAACAAGTGTATTTATTAAGGGCTGAAAAAATAATATATTCTATCATTTACATCTTTGGGAAAAAATGTATTAAGAGGAAAGCTGGGCATGAGTCATGGTCAAAGGAAGAGAGGGACCTCTGGACTAAAGACCAAACTTCGGACCTCTCTGGAATGCTTCAATCATTCAACAAATACTGAGGACCAACTAATTGCCAAGCATGGTGTTAAGCCCTGGATTTAGAAGGATGAATAAGACATGTTCCTGACCTCATGAAGCGCTCATATAAGAGCGTGGTGGTGAGCCAAACAACCACTAAGCTAACTATACTCAGTTATCTGTAATGCTTGTTTTTCCAAAATATGCAGCATCATGCTACTCAGGCCTAAAGATTTAGCAGAATAGCACATCTATCAAGTGCACCAGCGCAAATAGAAAGTTTATATGGATGAGACAACTCCATATTTGTACATATTTTCCTGAGGAACTTATTTCTCAGGAAATAAGTCTCAGTAACAGGTTATAGAGGGTGTGAGGAATGGGCAGAGAGGGAAGACATTTTATTATGACTATCATTTCACACAAAGACAATAGAAACAGATTAACTTTAGATGATTTAATCAAATGACATGCTTATAAAAAATGTTGCCAAGAATCTGGGAAGGATATAAGTTGAAATCAGTTTTTGCCCACAGGTATAATGACTAGGAAAACAATGCTTTACTAATAAAGAATATTGTGATATAATGTTGTTTGTTGTTACTGTTAGGTGCCATCAAGTTAGTTCTGACTCAGTGACCCTATGTGACAGAAATAGGACCATTATTCACCATCACAGAATAATTTAAACTTGTGGGTTGCTGGACATATAAATAAATAAATTATCTCTGTCTCTTGATCACAATCTAAAACTACACCTCTTTTGGAATTGGACAAGTTAAATTTCTATCTGGATTCTGAATCGGAATATCAAAAGTTTATGTAGTTTAGATTTTACTAAACTTGAAGGTATAATATAATACTTATGAGATAATAGGATTTTCATATCAGACTTGGACTTAATAAAAGTCAGACTGCTTCATAAAATTGCTGCAAGGACAATATTAATGACAGGGTGTTTTCATTTTCTTTCAACAGATATGCGCATGCAAATAAGTAACGCTGAGAAACTGTTTCTTGAGAAACTCAGTGAGAAGGAATATTGGGAAGAATATAAGAAAGTAGGGAATGAACAGCATGCTAAACACATTGTATCCTTAGAGAATGACATCAAGACAGTTAAAGACAATGCAAGGAAAATGTCAGGTCAGTTGCAACAAAGCTAGCTTAAGTTTAATAAGTAGTGTTTAGAGGATAGATATTTAGTGGAAGAAAAAAATGGGTACTCCCTGAATCATTTATTACTCTCTTCTGTCAGCACAAGCAACTGTGAGCCTAGAAGTAAAGGTGGAGGGAAAGTAGAGAAAGATGGGCCAGCTATGAGAAGGGGAACTAAAGTGGGTACGGAGCCAATGGGCTTCCAGAAAGAAGCTTCACTCAGTGGTATTGTCTGCACACTCCCATCCTTGGGTCTGGTGCAGTTCCACCAGAAAGGAGACTCCTGGGAGGTGGGCAATGGTTGCGTTGTGGTAGAATTTTAGCCTTCCATGTGGGGGCTCTGGTAGCGTAGTGGTTATGAATAGGGCTGCTAACCTCAAGGTCAGCAGTTTGAAACTACCAGTCATTCCATGGGAGAAAGGTGAGGTTTTCTGCTCCCATAAAGATTTACAGCCTTGGAAACCCTGTGCAGGGTCACTATGAGTTGGAACCGACTCCACGGTACTTAACAACAATAAAGATATGGAAGACCTAGGTTCAATTCCTGGCCATTGTACCTTAAATGCATCCACCACTTGTCTGTTAGTGGAGGCTTGTGTGCTGCTACGATGCTGACCAGGTTTCAGTGGAGTTCCCAGTCTAAGATATATTAGGAAGAAGGGTCTGGCAATTTACATCCAAAAATCAATGGAAACCCTATAGATCACTATGGCCGGATCTCAGGGAATCCAAGAATCAGGCACAGGCTCGATGGTAGCTAACAACACGAGGTTCCTGGTACTGGATTAAATTAGACACAGAATTCACCTGAGGCAAGCTAAGGCAACTCAGTCAGACTGAAAAACAAGAATCATATGAGAATTGTCCAAGTTAATCCAAGACAACAAAAATGGAGAATAAATATGAGATGGGAAGAGGAGAGAGTATGGAGCATGATAGCTTACCAGGGACAAAACTGGCTATATATGCTGTCTCTGTCCTATAACGCAAAGTCATGTGTCTGTTACTGACGTGAACATGGTGGTTATGTGCCGGGAAGTTGGTTCCAACTCATAGTAACCCCATACAGGGTTTCCGAGGCTGTAATCTTTATGGGTGCAGAAAGCCTCATCTTTCTCCCACAGAACAGCTGGTAGTTTCAAACTGCTGACCATGAGATTAGCAGCCTGATTCGTAGCCACTACGCTATAAGAGCTCCTTGAAGTGCACCTAGTGGCTTTTAAGCCGTAACATATATTTAAAAGAACACCAGTGACCCAGAGACAGGAAGTCATGGAACAGAACAAATGGGGGAAATCTGGTCAAGAAGATGCTGCAGGTACGTGATAATCCAGGAACCTGGCTGCCTGAGCCCTGTTGGGATGCTTTTGGACCAAATTTTATGCTAAGCTTGCCTTGTTGGTCTCAGTTTTGAGGATATAGGATGTAAGATCAGAGCTATCTGTAGTCAGGTCAGAGGCTCTGCACCTCAAAGAGAGAGTGAATTTGGCTCTATATTAGTCTGGTTTTGAGTTTCAGTATCTCAGAAGGTAGTAAGTGAACATGGCACCCTCCCCCACTATCTGTTCTCCTGCCACTCAGAACGTCTCTCTCCCTATCAGAAGCTACTATTACCAGTGTGGGTTGCCTGGAATATCCTATGCATATATACCATAAATAGCATGCTACACATTGGTTTTTCACTTGCCATTTCATGTAACAATATGGACATCTTTGTAGATCAGTATATACAAGGGTAAGTCCAGAAGTATTGTTACAAAAATATAGAAACTGGGCAACTTAGACAATAGCTACCACTGGACCAATAAACAACATTCTTATCAATGGAGAAAAGATTTTAATTGTCAAGGACTTCATTCTTCTTGGATCAACTATCAACA